CATAATGCAACTATATTAATTTCATATTGTATTCAACAAGATCAAGTTTGACATCTTCCTAAAAATAATATAAATCACAACCACTTTATTACTATTACAGTAGAACCCAATTTTCCAAGGTAATGTAGACTGACGCTACCTTGGATAAAACAAATGACAACAACCATTTTGGATTAAAAATTACAAGTATATAATATTTATATGGCATCATTTTTAAGCCATCTTTTTATACCTTAATTTAATTATACATAAGAAAAATAACTTGTATATCGTTTATCGCATATCTAATACATAAAATAGTTTTAAAAATAATTATTGTAGTTACATATTAATATGTATGGGCTTGTTTCAGATTGAAGTTAAATGATAAAAGGTAACAAAAACAAACCATTTTGCAATAGATGCTAGGGCTTAGATATTCAGGGTTCTACTGTATTACTATTTTACTCAAAACAAACCTCTGTTTTTATCTCATAATTGTGATTTTATATCACATATTATTATATGTTTATTGTAAATATAAAATCTGCTATTCAATTTGTATCTGTAGAATAAATTCTAGAAATTATTATTGTATTGTTTCAAGTTTAAATGGCTTGTACAGCTCTCCCTTAATAGTCCGACAGGTTTGGGACCAAAGGGGTGTTGGATTACCAAAAGTGTCCGAATTACCAAAAATAATTACATATTTTGCATTGTTTTGCTAGCAGTAGCATACAATATTCCCTACTCCAACTGTTCGAACAGAACTGCTCACATAAAACACACGAAATGTGTGTCATCGTGTAAGAATTGGATGGGAAGATTCATGTCGCGACATGCTTCTGTGCAAGCAGACACATAACAGAGATGGGTACCTTGACGGGAGGTGCATCAGACTACTGAGCATGTCGGATTAAAAAACGTCGGACTATCAAGGGAGAGCTGTACTAAACTGATTCCTTAAAAAAAGTTTATAGAAATGATTACATTGAAGCAAAAATTTTCTTTAAATATTAATCTACTTTTCTGACTGATAAATATTCAAAAAATAACTTTTTTAAATTAATGAAAAGTAAAACAAGTTATCAAAATCACTCATTATTATTCTTTCAGTCTCAAAAACTCATAATTAAATTTGTTTTGGATTCATAGTTTTATAAGAAAATTTGGACCTGAAGAAGATTTGAAGAAAGACAAGGATTGAAAACGTTAGTCTGTTTTCTACATACAGGACTTAGAGTTAACAAGGGTTCTCAGGTGTGTAATGTACAGAAATTCCAATCTATAAGGCTCAGATCTTCCTTTTTAGGCTATTAGTCTGTCAATCAGTGATAAAAAATAGTTTTAAGATGACAGAAAATATTTCCTTTACAAATTTTCTTTAAAATACATTTTCCAAATAAGGAATAGACAAATGTACACTTCAGGAACACTTACCTCTTATATAAAAATGACTGATTCTAACGAATTTGTCTTAGTTTTTATTAGCAACTGCTTTTCTAATTGTAAACATTTTTTAATCAATATTTCATAATAAATTCAAACAATCTATATTATATAACTAATATTTATTTGTGAAATGTTTGTACATAAAGAAAAAATCTAAATGAAAATGTAATATAGCTCCTTGTTATATTACTCATTTGAAAATATCACTTTTTTGTCTTTCAAATATAAAAGTGCTTTAGCCAATACTTTTTACAAAATCAGTTGCCATTGAATTTCTACTGGCAAAGAAATATCACCTTATTCCAATCACAGACCTTAAAATTACTTAGTATAAAATGCAACCCACAAATCCAAGTCAGCATGGAGATTGAAAATAGACAAAAGAGGTGGATAGACACATTGTTATATTGTACCCTCTAGTATACTGTTCATTTGGTTTGTCTTCCAACATCCATGATATAACAAGTGGTTACTGTATCATACATTCAGTATACAATTCAATCAGGTTCAAGTTATGGTACTTCTATTTATAATTTCTTTACATAGCCATAAAATGTCTATACATATAATAAAATGTAAATAATAAAATTCATATACATTCATATTTAGATAATTATTCAAAAATTATTCTTGATATTAAATAAAAGTGAGATATGAATCAATTGAAAGATAAACTAAATTTATTAATAATGATGTAGTATTTGTTAATTAATAATCAAATCAATTTAGAATATATTACCATACACTGAACATTTTGAAATTGTGTAATTAATTTTGAAAACAATTATTCTAAAAACAATCAGCATGACAGTATAAATTATCTGAAAATATACTTTATTTGAATACTGTAACCGTAGAAACATATACTAGGTAACTGTCAATTTAACAGCTTCTGTAAAAAAAACCACCAAATGTACAGTACAAGTATGTAAAAATGGGAATTATTTTTGTATTGTGTTGTATTTTAAATTATTTATAATTTGAGTTTAAATCTTGTACTTATATACAAATCTATATAAAATAATAAAAGATAAATATATTTTAAAATATTTTTTCATTAAAGAAGTTTTGTCTTTGATATTGTAACTATGATAGAAATAAAAAGTTTACAATGAAAATCATAAATTTCATCAGAAGGAAGAAAAAACTCTAGAATATTTATTTGTAGTCTTCTCTGCTGTTTCTTAAAGGTCAATGCCATTTAGATTTTTTATGCTTATGTTTTTATGACAGTCTTAAAGTATGGCATTTATTACACTTCTAAAAATATTTTATACCTATGGAAAATGCAATTTAAAAAGAAATTGCCATCAGAACAACAATTATCACATGCATAATGAATGTAACGGAGACTATATAAAAATGTATAATGGATTTATAATGTCCCTGTTTGTGCAGAGAGATAATGAGAAGACTCCTTAGTCTTTTTATATATAATGTAACGATAATTAAAAATTGGCAGTAGTCTACAAATAGTGATGGTCTTTATTTTTTAGTGCTCCTATTCTTATAACAATTTTAAAAAGACCTTTGTTTTAAATTTTTAAACATTAAAAATATTAACATAATTTATATTGTTATTTATCATACAGAATTACTTTCAATAATTTTCACTTCAAGTACAAAGAAAATTAAATTTTAAAAATATTTCATTTTTGAATAAATTTAACCAATACATTATTGAAAAAAGTGCTAAATGCATAGATTAGATTTATTTTTGTAAAACTAAAAACACACAGTAGAATAAAACTTCTTGATTACAAACTGACATTTGTGAAGTTCAAATTCAATGCTGAGTAATGCTAAAGTAGCAAAATTAAAATTTTCTTACATTCAATGTATGATTAAAGCAAGCAGAAAGCAGGAAAAAGGTCATTTATAACCAAATCACACAGAAAAGAGATTTTGATGCACTTCATTCGAATTGGTTCTGTATGACAAATATGGAACCAGTTCAAAACAAGAGTATGAGTTTAAATAGTTTAATTTTTACAAATTAAAAGGATCTTCTTGGATACTTTATTCCTGAAACAAATTAATCTTACTTTTAAATTACAACTTCAGTAGTATTATTATATCATTCTTCCGCACCAGTATTAATAGTCTCACTTTGTTGGGGTTGCTGCTCTTTTCCATATTTGCCATTGTTTTAAAAATTAATGCCTTTCCTGCCACTAATGTTTCCACTTTTAATCTTAACATGGAATCAATCAAAACCGCTAGACTGAACGGTGTTAGATAATATCTAGTAATTCCATTTCATCTCTGTACTATCTTAAGACCATTTACCATTTAACTTTGGTAATTGATAAAAACCAGTGTATTCAGTGGAGACTAGTTATTGCATTAGTATAATTACTTCATTATTAAATTATAAATTCACAAGTATATAAATTTTGTGCATTCAAAAATATTAGTAATCAATACAATCATAAACAATTCTTAGTCTATATTTTTTACAAATGTCTTCACTGTTGACTGATGTCATAATTGCAGAGTTCAAATTGACAATTTATATTCTAAGTTTGTCTGCTTGGGAGACTGACTTCCTTTCTACATCCCATTCATTTGCTTCTTGTTGGAACTGCTGTCTCAAAAAGGTCAAAAGTGAGATAATCACCTGTAAAATTCTTTCCAACCTGGATGACTGACTTTTCTCTTATGTGTCAGATCAACATCTTTTCTTGGTCTCTCACTCCACCAATATCATGATAGAGCAGCCTCCATTCATCCAGGTGTTATGATCCTTCATTCATCCAGTTAGTATGAGCCTTCCCTCTGTCATAACCTCCATTTGCTAATGAGTCCATTACTTGAATGATAAAACAAGAATGAAAAAAGCAAACATACTGCCCTTTGTTCTCTAAGTTCAGGTTTATATATTTATCTATATTGAAATAGTGAATGATTACCTCAGCAGACATTATTCACTTTGCTTATCAGTTTATTCTGGGATAACAATATCCTGACAAATACTGTTTATTATGAAATTATAGATTCATTCGATATACTTGATTCATTTCAAATTTTTTTTTCCTATAAATACCATATTTAACTGCAATGTTTAAAAATATATTTTATTATATATCAGACTTTTTCAATTATATTTAATTATATATAACCATTAAAGTCCAGAGAATCATTTATTGGGTGATATTTGAGTTTGGTCAAGATCTTCCCTTATCAGGTCATCCCACAATTAATGTTGTTTTTTTCAATATCCATGTAATCAATGCCATATGAACTACACCAAGGTTATGATACTAGCACCTAATAGGACAGTTCGTTCTGTACACGTGCACAGAACATGATCAGTTCACAGCAATTTGTATGTCAGTGAAACATGTTTAAACATGGCAATGTTTGAAGAACATATATAGCATGTTATGATCTATAAATTCCATCAGCAACATTCAGCAACCTTAGCAGCACAAAACATTAATGTCATATATGGGCATGGAACCCTTGATGTTTGCAAATGTCAAAGATAGTTTAAAAAATTTTGGGAAGGAAACACAAGCCTTACTGATATGCCACAAGAAGGAAGACCTATTGAGCTGGATAATGACCTTCTGTGAGCAGCTGTTGAGGAGAATCCACTGAAAATGGTTGAAGAATTAGCCACAGCACTCCATTTGATCCTTTCAACCATTCACTGGCATTTGCAGGATCTTGATTGTGTGTCCAAACTGGGAAAATGGATATCCCATGAGTTGACAACTGAGCAGAAACAGCAGCATGTGAATGTTTGCAGTTCTCTATTGACCCATCACAGAAGAGAGCCATTTTTGAACAGAATGGTGACAAAAGATGAAAAATGAACCTTATGTCACAATGTTAAACACAAACACCAGTGGGTACCTAAAGGTGGTATGGTGGACACAGTGGCAAAACAAGATCTTCACCCACAGAAAGTGATGTTGTGTGTTTGGTGGGATATGCATGGTATCATCCATTTCGAATTGTTGCCACCAAATGAGACAATCATGACGGATGTCTACTCACAGCAGTTGGGAACGGCTATGGGCTGCAATGTTGGAGAAATACCCTCAACTGGTCAGTCATAAAGGTGTGCTGATACATGGAGATAACACCAGCCAACACATGGCAAGGAGGACCTACATGAAATTACAAGAATTTCAATGGAGCAAACGGACCTTTCGCCAACAGATTTCCTTTTGTTTTGCAGTCTTCAAAAACATCTTGATGGGAAAACACTGCAAAATGTGGAGGATATGTGGCAAACAGTATCTGAGTTTTTTTATGTCAAAATCTAGAGTTTTCTTTCAGAGAGGAATTCAAGAACTCATTGACAGATAGATGGCAGAGGATTGTGGCATCAGATGGTGATTATTATAATGACTGAGGATTGTGTTCCAGTTATGTTTCCATTCTTTCTTTCATAGTGATGAAAAACGACATTACTTAGGGGATGATCTGATATTTTTAAGACAGACTACGTATGAAGAGTAAAGAAAAATTATCCTTTGATGTAGAACACAATGAATTGCTGTATAGTCATTATTTGTCTTTTTCAATTTGTTTCTACAAATGTTTGAACTGAGAAAATGTTCTGATGCAATATAAAATTATTTTAATTAAACAATCTCAATTGTCATTAAAAGACATATAACTAAACTTTCATAAACAATTTCAATAACTTTCATATTTCAATTATTATTTCCAACACTATTCAACTAAAATGTGAATTCTTCACAATTTACATAAAAAAGTGGATAGAAATTTAGAATACTTATATAGGCCTAAATGATTTGTAAATACAGTTGACCTCCCTATAACACGGTAGATACATTCCGTTCTTTATGAAATTGATGTCCTACGAGTCCTTAAATACATGAGCCAATCACAGCCCGGCACGTATGCAGTTTATGGACTATAGCTGTTTGAAAGGTTTTCTTCCATAAAATTAATCGATTCTAGACTAATTTGACTCAACATTTCCAAAACACGTATAATTTTTTGGGAATAATCCATATAAACTATGCTATAAACAAAAAATTGTAGGATTACTTACCGAGTGTGCACC